CCAGCAACACTGAGGCACTGAATTTCTGCCAGGGAAAAAAGCTTTAACATTCATTTTGTTCAAACATTCATGCTGTTCAAACAAAACCAGGGTGGACTCTGAAATTATCTTCTGAAAGCCAATTATATCCCACAGGCAAGAGTGATGCCATTAGACAGATACATCAAGCACAAGTACCTGCACACATTAAGCCTTGTAATAAAGGATGACTCAAAAGCAGATTTCAAAATACATGCTCACATTACTTAACAGCAACCACCATCATCCAGTAAAACCTGTCACTTTGCTTTCTGTCCAAATGACTTGTCACCACATTGAGGGACTGTTTAGCATCACATTTAGTGTTCACTGCCAGTCTTCAGATACACCACATCCATAAAATAAGGGAGGTCCAGGAGCCCCCCTCCTCACCCCCAAGCTCATTTGAGTTCTGTTTTTTTAAGTACATGGCATGGAGATAGGGCAGCTCCTTCATGGTTACAGTGATGGATGAGCAATCCATCCTCCCTTTCAAATCTGTGCTGTTTATTGGAACTTACTTCTACAACAAGCACTACTTCCTCATACCAGTCCATGAGGACATCCTGACTCACTGCATTTGTCTTCTCATTCTTCTCCCTTTCTGTGGTTTCAGCCATCCCCCTGTGTCTGCCATGGAAGATCTATTATGGTATCAGTGCAATAAACTGTTATGCTGCAACAGGTGTTATTTAAAGAAAAAGGGAGCAGGAGGAATATCCACACTGTCTACTTCAGCTATTTACTTTATTTATTCTATTACAGATGCTCTGAAGAGCCCTAGAAATACCCACTTCCTCCCAGCAGCCCTCTGCGAACACAGGGAACTTTTGCTCCTAACTCCAAATCCATCTAGGGAGCATCCAGACTTCCCCAGAACCGCCACTGGTGCAGAGGGTGAGATGGATGGACAAAAGCAGCCACATCAGAGCTGAATTCTTGCTCCTACAGTCTACAGCGAAAACCACCAGACCAGCATATTCTTAGTGTGTCACTGAAATGCTCTTGCCCAAAGCATCGAGAGGTCATTGCAGCATAAAAACCTGAAGTTACAGCAACAGTAATAACCAGACACACAACACTGTGAAGTTTCTGCTTTCTTCTGGACAAAGCTTTCCTGGAAGCTCTCTGCCAAGCTGTTTAAGATGCTGCTATGGCCTACTGAGTGTACTTAAATTGCAGGTGTCAAGCTGTGCATTGCATCAGATTTCCTTGGAAGTGTGGGGTATCTACAGGAATCCCAGAGAAGCTCTTCATCCTGCTCCAGGATATAAGCTTGTCATTTCTCCACAAGCTAAAGGGGGGGGGGGGAAATCATATCCAGAATATTCTAAGATTGTTGCTTTTAATATAGATATGTATACAAAAGGTGAGAAAACACCTTCAGGTTTATTGTAGGAGGTAGCTGGACTCTCAAATCTGCCAGCACAAGAACTTCACTGTGGGAACAAAGACTACATTTTGGCATTCCAGTTCGTAGGGCTTTCAAAGTGAGTTGAGGTAAAAAAACATCACATGACTTCAAAACACTATATTCCACATAAAAATCCTTTCTGACCCATAAAGCTATTAGTACTCACATTGAAATATTTAATTAGAGGGTATTTTACTGGTACATCAAATTACCTTTCCTTCCTTCTCCACTGCTTGCCTTTCAGGACAAAGCAGATGCTATTAAACAGCCTCAGGAGCACCAGCATTGCTGACAACACCTGTTTGCTACCAGTAAGACCAAAGCCAGCCTGGTTTACTCTTGACTCTTGTCCACCCGGGCTCTGGGACTACCTCACTCAAGTGAAACCACCCAGACTGAACTGTGTAGGAAGGCAGCTTGTCCTTCCCTGTGCCCCCTTCCCTGTGCCTCCAACAGCATCATCATGGAGTCATCACCACTTTGCTCACCAGAGCAACAGCAGGTGAGTCAGTCCAAGCTTGTACCATCAGTTCATCCCAAACTCGGTCACAGAAAATGCATCGCCCCCTTAGCTGATATGGGAGGCATTGCTTATTCCAGCCCTGCTCAGATGGCATGGGCAGACACTGCTTGCTCGAAGAAAACAGGACAAAAATAAGAAAGAAACAGGACAAGACTTGTCATCATCCCTTTAAAAAACATGCTGTGGCACCATGTGGTAAGGTCCTGGTAAGTATATGCAGCTGGGATGCTTAGGGATGAAAGCAGGTACAGCTTTCAGGCTTGTGGGGGGCTATGTGATGGTTGCTAAAGTAAAATGACACAATTAGGAGTTTGCCACAGAAATAATACGGTTTGGTCCCAATTGAACAGACTCACCTTCAGGAGGATTCACTGTGATTAGCTACACATCAGTTGTAAAGAGTCAAGAAAAGTTCAGAAAAGAATTAAATACTAAGCATCTGTACATTTTGGACAGTGACAGATAAGAAATTACTACGGTGAAAGTCAATCCAGCTGTTTCCCTTCCATGACTTCTCCCTACACCAAAATACCTTACCGATACAGGCTGACTAAAGGTTTATTCTAAAGCAAGTCAGATTTAAGCAGAACATTAGAGTCCAAACGTTTTACGCTGCGAGGACAGAAAGCCGAGCCCAGCAACACCTGCCTGTTAGCAGAGTCGCTTCTTTAAAAGTAAGAACAGTGGAGGAGGTCACAGACCCAACCACACACGCTAAACTTATTACAAGCAATTAAAGGCAAGATAATTTGGGAGATAAACACTTGAGAACTGGAGAGGTTTCACAACCCGTGTAATTAGAATAAATCAAGAGCGAAGCCGCTGTGCCAGCCCCCGCTCCCAGGGCTCACCATCATCTCCATACCCTCCGCGGGACGGAGTGCGGGATGATGACCCCATCCCGGGAGCAGGGGTGACACCAGGCGGGGGGGGGGGGGGGGGTGCGAGGCTGCGGCGGCATCGCTCCGCAGGTGCAGCGCACCCGGGGGCCGGCCCCAGCGAGCCGCGGCAGCCGGAGAAGCCACTGCAGAGAGCCGGGGCCGGCGGACGCGCAGCCGGAGCCTGTCCGCTCCCACTGATTCCCCGGGCGCGGCCGCCGGAGAAGATGGTCGCGGGGAGAAACTTCTCCGCGGCGGACATGGCACCGCCCTCCTCCTCCTCCTCTTCCCCAGCCCCCCGAGCCGCGCTGCCGGGCGGGGGGAACCCAGCCCGCCCCGGCCCCTCCATCCCTCCCGCAGTCACTGTCCCCCGCCCCTCCGCGGCCAGCGGCGCCGGCTCCGCGGGGCAGCGCGGGGAGGCAGAGCCGCGCCAGCCCCTTCCCCGAGTGCCGGCCGGGCACCGCGGCTCCCCGCGCCGCTCCGCAGCGGGAGGGCTCTCCCTTTTGTGTTCGGCACCAACTTCTTCCCCCGGCGGGGCGGGGATGGACGTGGCAGCCCCCGCTCGCCCCCCTAAGCCCCCCATTGCGGCGGGGTCCCCTCCTCACCTCCCCTTCCAGTTGCACAGGTCGCTGGAGTACTGAGCCGCGGCGCCCAGCAGCAGCCGCAGCCCCAGGAGCAGCGGCAGGAGCCCGGCGGCCGGGGCGCTCCGCATGGTCCCCCCCGGCCCGGTGCGAATGCGGTGCAAGGCGGCGCGGAGCGATGCAGCGGCGGGAGCTCGCCTACATGGCAGAGAACGGAGCAACTACCCCATGCCCGCTTCCACGCTGCGCCGCTCCGACTCAGCTCTGAAGTTCGCAGGAGCGGGCTGCGGGCTCCAGCTGAGGGGCGGGGAGCGGCCCTGCCTCCCCGGGCCGCCCGCGGGGACCCGGCTCCGCCCTCCCCGCCCGTCCCTCCTCCCTCCTCGGCGGGGCCGGCCCTTGCTGCAAAACACGGCACCGGATCGAGAGCTGCGGCTGCCCCGTGAGCACGGCTCGGCTCGGTTCGGACACCGCCGGAGCGCCCCCTGGCCCGTCCCGTCCCGTCCCGTCCCCCAGCGCACGGGGCAGCGGTGATGGCCGGCAGGAGCAGAGGGTTTCCTTTGGCCTCCCTGCGGTGGGGAAGCGGTGGGTGCTGGCACTGACCCGCACTGCGGGGACAGCCGGTGCCAGCCGTGCACCCCAGGTCCCCTGCCCGCAGCAGGTTTCCACCTGGGCGCTTTGCAGGGTGCGGGGAGGGGGGAGATGAATTTGCTGAAACCTTCTTGTGTCTTCACTTAGCAGGAAGCACTTGGGACTCGATGGTGTTTGTAAAACTCTCCAACACTTAATGACCACTCTGGATAACTCCTTGTTTTGTTTAATGTCCCCGTTTATTCCACTGTTGACTTTGGATACTTAATCCTTGGTGGCAGAGTGCCTTCTGCGAGAAACTAGAGGCAAAAAAAGAATGCCTTCTAGGATGTGAGGGAAGCGCAGGAAGTGAATCAACCCAAAACCCAAAGTACCAGGGCCAGGATAAATGGGGAAAAGAACCCTGGATATGGGAACAGGGCGAGAGGATCCAGCTGCACACAGGCTGTGCTCCGATATGCCAGGCGCCACGTATTTCTGTCAAAGAAGCAGCAAGGGAGTCGAGATTGATACTGCACATCCGCAGATAGGAGAGGGGTTAAAGCATTTCCAGATCACCGAGTTTCTTGGTCTCCTGTTGCTCTTTTCAAGTGCCTGTCAGGCAGTTTTGTTAAGGGCACCGCACAGATTTTTCTAGGTGAGAGTTCACGGATGAGTATTAAACATTTACACCCTGTTCACAGTGTGTTTCCCTCGTTAGTACCTTTTAAAACACCTTGCAAAGTGCCCTGGTGCTGCCTGGGAGGATCTGCTGGATAAACTGGGATATTCCAGTTCTGAGTGCTTCCTGCCTGCTTCTGCACTGGGGATTAAATCCTTTGCAGTGCCATTTGCGGGGTTAGCTTTTCATGTCGTTTTTGTTTGGTAAATTACAGGTACTGTTCTGTTGATGATGATGTATTAACATAATTACAGTAATTCCATCAAATGATGCAATGCATGTAAATATGTAATTAGCATGCAGGGACAACACTGAGCAAAGTGATGACAACATGCAATAAATGCAAAATGCTTTATTCTCCCGGTCATGTGCAGCGACACGGGCTTTAGAGCTCAGTGCCTTGATTATTGCTTTAGAAGGAGATTTTGTTGGAATGTTTTGCTTCCTTCCCTCGTACTGGAAAGAAAAGCATACAGAGACAACGTCGTAGGGCTTTATTCCTCGGTGTGTTTAGATGTGAGACCCTCTGCCTGCCTCCCAACTTACTGTATCTGATTTCCTTTGCAATATTGTAACTCACTGCATTTGACAAAACAAACAAGTGGCCAGGCAGCTGCTCACATTACACTTTGGAACTTTGGAAACTGGCTGAAAACTGGGAACTTTACGATACAGAACAGCATGTGCTATTTTGCAGTTGCCACTGCCACTGGCTTTCCTTCTCCCCCTTCAGAAAAGGCAGCAGCATTTAGTTCAGGGGAGCCGGAAAAGTAATGGCAACATGGGGGCTTTGAAAGCCTCTCCTGTCCTCCATGCCCTTATTGATGCTGATGCAGTTCCTTCATCTGACCCAAGCTGATGAGTCTTACAATGAGCAAAGCCCAGATTTGTGGTCGCAGAGTCAGCATTTCTGGCTGCAGAGCCAGGGCTCATGGCTGCAGAGCCATGCCCAGGTTAAGCCTCCCCCAGTTCAAAAGTGAGGGGCAGAAGGAGATAGGGAACCTCTGCAGAGAAGGGGGCTGCTTGGTTTGCTCATTTGCATCTCAATCCCCACAATGCTCTTCCGGCTACTCACAGCTATTCCATAGTAGTGCTCTTGGCTGAGATCTGGGAACACGCTCAAAGGGTGAGGCAGCTTTTGGATGCACTGAGCTGTTTTCTGTTTGAGCTGTGAAAAGCAAACATCTTTTCAAGAGAGAACATTCTGAACAGTAATTTTTTCACATTTACAATTCAGAAAGAGCAGAACTTCACAGAAATCTGGAAGGAAAATATTGTATAATGTCAAATGGAAACATAAATCCTCTGCAGCAAAGTTTTCACACTACTCTGAAAATAGAAGCCACTAAGTTACTACTATACTTGGCCTAATGTGGCAGGACTGGAGATACAGGTTCTGGAAACAGCTTCACACACTCAAACACTTGAACCCCAATAAAGCTCCATCACCTTCCTCGAGGAGCAACCTGAAAATGAGGATCTACACAGTCACTTCCGACACTTGCTTCTAAATTCACTTTAAATATTTGCTTGTCACAGCTACAAACCCAGGCACCAACAGTGGCAATCTGAAAGGACTCAGAGAGCAGGCGGCTGCAGGAGGAGAACCTGCTGAAGGAGAGATGACTAATTTGCTTCGGTACTTTGGAGAAAACAAAATCAAGCAGTGATTAGAGATGGGCTCAAGCTCAGGTCTGGATTTACATTTTCTTCAAAGCATGGCTGCATTTAGATCCTATGTATTAGGGACAAAACTCCCCTGCCAAGCTGGGGCCTGGCCCCAAGGCACAGTAAGGATACTCTCAGATGCAGGATTTTGGGTTAAGCACATCACAGCTGAACATGCAAAGCTGGTTTAAACAGTGTGGCAGAGCTAATCTGTTGAAAGGTCTCACTCAGCCTTGCTTGTCCCAAAGGGAATATATATGGGAGAGCTGCAAACTTCTCAAGGGCCTTGCTGGTCATTGCCTAGCCCATGTGCTGGTTTCACCATGTGTCCCCGTTTTTGCAACTCCCACCCAGCTCCCTCTCAGCTGATTTATTTTCACACTACTCAGCTTGCAGGAGGTGAATCGGGTCCTGTGGTTACAGAGCAGACCCAACAGCTAGTGCATGGTGTGCAGCCTCTCACCGGCTGCCAGCAAGGGAAATCCGAGACTTTAAAAGGAGGAGGGGGAAGGAGGAGAAGCAGGGTATTTTGTGGAAAGGCAAAGCCATAGCTAAGCAGCATGCATGGCAAAGCAGGAGGGAGAAGAGAGTGATCTAAGAATTCAAACAAGCCACAGAGAGGACAACAGAAAATTCATATAGGTGTAATATGAAAGAAGTAGAATTTGTAAGGTAAATCCAGCAGACAGATGGGAGTAAGCAGAGTAACAAACCAGGGAGAGGTTCAGAGCTGAATGGACAGTGGGAAATCTTTGTGTGTAGTAGAGGGGGTACCATGTTACTTGCTCTCATGAAATTAAAATTAGTAATGAAAATACATTCACCCATAATTGCACCCTTATGCCTATTCCTGCTTACTTCTCTCAGTCCTACTCTCTGAGCATAGTTGCTATTACTCCTAAATTGCTACTACTCAGGTCTTGCTTTTCTTGGTTTTGTTTCTGTTTTAAATGGTAACATTTTGGCTTTCAGAATGTAACAGAAAATGACACCCATTAAAGAAACACAAGCAAATCTTTCCTAGAAGCAGCCAGCATTAACTGCGCGCTGAAATAGAGCCATAGGCCAGCAGTACTGCTGATGGAACAGTGTCAGTTTAGGGACTGCATTTTAAAGAGCGAGGCAGCATTGCAGAAGTGTTGAAAGAGGGGGCGGGGAGCGCTGGAGCAGAGCTGCCCCTCTCCCCTTGGACACACAGGCAGCGCCGGGAACAAACAGCTCCCGCTGCAAGCGCAATCCAGCTTCCGCCTCTGGATGTTTGCATTCGGATCCCAACCAGCTCCCACCCGAATCAATGGATCTCGCTGGAGGCGCAAATGGGAGACTGAAAATACCGAGTCTTAATTGTCAGATAAGCAGAAAAACTCCGGGAAAAAAAAAACAAACAGTAATCATTATTTGGACAAGTTAATTATATGACATTACCCTAAAATAAATAAATAAACAGGTGGAGATGCCCGGACTTGTGATGTGGCCAAACCAGTAGGTGTGCCTCGAGTTACACGTATGGGCTCCCGCTGTGCAGAACACAGGGATGCCACCTCTGCAGGCAGTGAAATCCATTCACCAGGAATACTGGAACATTTAAGGCAAATCAGTAGTTTGGGCAGTGTGTGTATTTTATTTTTAAAATTTCTGCACTTAAAAGAGTTGCTGCCAAATAAATGTCCCTTTCTGCTCATGGTCTTTATTTCCATCTGCTGCATACGGAGAGGAGTAAGACACAGGACTAACACTGGCCTTTAAGAAGGGAGGTCAGGTATGTCCTCCTCGCCGGTGTTCCCTAGAAGCCTCTTTGCAAGACCAGTAACTCAGCCCAGGTAAGAGATGAATCACCTTCTGCAAGTGCCTGCCTCTCCATGCTGACTGCAGAGGGAGACTGACTACACTCCCGGCTTCATTGCTCTTAATATAAGCACCTCAGCCAGCTAAAATACATGCAGATTAGGCAGACTGAATGAGGTGTCATAATCTTGGCCAAGAAGTCTAAAGTGGAGTAAGGATTAAACCCATGCCCTGTGATAGTGCTAAAAACATAGTTTAGGCTACCAAGGCCCATTTTCCCAAATTTCACAGCTTGGTTTTCATCAAGCCAAGGGCCACAGCATCAGTAGCAATGGCTCCGGTGCTGTCCCCCCTCCACCTCCCAAACACCTTAAAGTGTTTAAGCAACCCAGCTCATGCAGACAGGAATTGCACATCAAACTGAAAAGCACTGAAAGGGATGATGTCTGCACCCAAGCAGCCTATCAAGAGGATCAACAAAGTAACACAAAGCACAAAAGATGGCTAAGAAACACTCATTATTTGCCATCCCACACAGCAACCTCTATCTCAGGACCTAGGGACCCGGGCAGAGGATTTAGTGCCTAAGCCTAGAGACTCCTCTGGGTTGCAGGCATTAACTCATGCTTGCATGCCTGAGACTGCATGAAGCTGAAGTCAAAACCAAAAACCTCTACAGAGGCCTCAGTATATTGTTGTTCTGGGGATAGTCCTGTGTGTTTCATCCACAAGAATTAGTGTTTTCTTTTCATTTCACAATAACCTAGGTATTCCAAATGTCTGCCAAAAAGCACTCGGAAACCCAGCATTTAATCTGAGGACTTTTAAGAGGACCAGTTGTTTATTTCCACCATCTAATGAACATTAATTTCCTGTTTTAGAAAGTGTAATTCATGCCACTGGTGAAGCTGATATTTATCTTGATGTATATCCTCTTGGCTGGCTTAGTTTTTCATTTTCTCCAGCTCCTCCAGCCTACAAACAGCCTGCAACCTGTAGCCTCAGCCTGTGCAATCAGCAGTGCTGCAAACCCATTCAGAAGTTTCCAGTACTTGGTGGGAGAATCTGATAGCACAGGCCCGAACCCATTAGCATTCACTTCTCATAATAAAAACAAAGCTAAAGAGAGTGTTTGTAACACTGTTCTGAAAACAAGAACATATTTTCTTTTCTGCTTCAGAATTTAGACAAAACTAATGCAAGTTACACTAAACAAATCCAGCCCTTGCCAGGATAAACAAACATTTGCAGTGTTGCTTGTCATGAAATAAAGCCACTGACATGCATTTTAATGCAAGTCTCCTACAAATTGTGCAAAAATAATTGTGCCCTGTGTATTCGTTGCCAGGTTACTAGAAGGGAAGAGGATATTTTTGCAGACATGATGAACTAACAGGGTAAATAATTCAACTTAATCGTTTTCAAATTTCACACTTAATTCTCAACAGCAGGTCTTTTCAGATCCACCTCAGATCTGACGACAGGGATTATTTTAGAGCAAGGCTGACAAGCTCCTGTGAGCCATATTTAGTCCATGGGGTAGTTTTTATATGACAAACTTCCCCCCCCCACTAATACAGTAGCAGTTCTAGGGCAGCAAGTGTTGCTCATTGTTAGTAGCAGCACATGGATTTTCACTTCTTCCTAAACTCAATCACTCCCTAAACAAGTGATGTCTTAGCAAATAAAGCAGCATTAACAGAGACAAAACAGAAAGAGCTCCCTGTCCATACCCAATCTGCCTGCACAGTTCTCCTGTCAGTGACATTCTGGGAGAAATAGCACTAATTCCGATTAAAGCAGATCAGGAATTACATTATTACATATTTGCTTAAGGAAAAACAATGGATCAGCTAATGAAATGAGATCTGTGCTGCTCCACGAAGCAGGGCTTTTTGTGCTGCTTTGTGGCAATATTTTCAGAGCAGATGTATCTGAAGGAAGGGGCAAAGGGCCCTGCATCCCTTTTAGCACCACCCAGCTCGACAGCAAGAAAACTCCTCCAAAGAGACCTGCAGTTCAGCTGACAAACTTTCTCTTTTGCAGTGTTTCCAGATGACAAATAATACATCTGCTGAACGAGGTTCTGATGGCTTTCAGCTTTTGTTCAAAGCATGTTTTGGCTTTATTAGGTCAGATTACACTCTCACTTAGGTGCCAACAAATCTGAGCACAGAAACTCTCCGCTGATACAGGACTGAGAAGACAAGTGAGGTTCTCTGTCAAAGCTTCCACTCAGTTCCTTGCATGACCTTCTGGAAGACACTTCTCTATATTATGATGCTGAATTTAGTTGGTGAGGAGCTCTGAAAATCAACTGACATAAATTTATGGTGCTCTGCTAGCTTCTTGTGAGAGCAATGGCAAAGGCCAAACAACATGAAAGCTTGAAGGTATGCTGACAGGCCTTGTGGAAGCTAAAAGATCTTCATTTGAAATGTCCCAGGACAGTGACAAGCCATGAAATCTAACAAAACCTGTCAAGAAATGACTAGCAAATTTAGAAGTATTTTTACTTGGAAATACCATGCAGCCAGAATAAATGTTAATATTTTTAGAAGATGCTGTGGTCACCCAAACTCTCTTTTTTTTAATGCTTTTGGGATAAGTCCTTGAAGCAGTATGTATGAAATCTGACCTTTGCCATCTTAGTAATGTATATGTCTATGTATCTCTTGCGTTCTCCAACAGGATTCTGGCTGAAAAGCCAAGCAA